TTTTTTTTTTTACATTTTTGTGATTTAATAAGTAAATAAATTAGTAAGTGTTTTTTTATAAATATTGTTTAAAATAAAAAAAATATTAAAACATTTGTTTTAATTTGTTTTTTATCACGTATCATGTAAAACATGCTTTTTATTTAAAAATGGTTTATTTTTATTTTGCATTTGTATGACGTACTTAATTTTTAGTACGTGTTTTATTGCACTTATTTTAATTGTGACATTGTTTTACAAAAATGTATATCCCGTGTGTGTGTTCAGAACCCAGACATTGTTCTAGTGCACTATCTGAACGTGCCGTCGCTGGAGGACAGTGTGAAGTCGTGTGGCCCGGTGTCGTCTGCTCTGACCGACCGCAGGGACAGTCTGCGCTGGAGCCGAGACGAACTGCTGTCCCAACTCAAACCCATGTGTGAGTGACCAATCACACGCCTGCTGCCTCACCAAACAACCAATCACTGATCTATGAGTACATCACCACAGAACGACTTCTGCATGAAGTACAATATTTCATACGTTACGTAGTGATGCGAACATGAGGTTACTGAATAATTGATGCAAAAAAACTAAAATCACTCAGTGTGTGTGTGTTACATTTTCAATAATTCAGCGTTTGGTCGTCACCCACGTTTTATCTGGTCAGTGTGACTGTAAATGACTCTGTATCTATGTGTGTGTTTAGTCAACAGTATAAAATGGTCTTGTGGAGGCAACAGTTCTGTGGAGCTCTCAGTGGAGCAGATGGTGCAACAGATCCTAGAAACACAACAGACCAAACCACAACCTCGAACACACACCTGCCTCTGCGGTAAACACACACATATTCACTCATACACACACTCACACACACTATTACAGTTTTAACTGATTAAATAAACCCCATACTTTCAGATGCTAGTGTGTGATTTAACCAGGGTCATTGATTTGCCGTGTGTGACGTGTTTCCCGCAGCATCTCCCGGATCCAACATTCCTCACCGCTGCAACAGCACCAAACATCGCATCATCTCGCCCAAACTGCCCACCTCTCACCCCGCCCTCAGCGAGCTGCTGAATCTGGCCAATGAGGGCTCAGAGGTCGGGCGGGAGGCGGGACCGGGCGACGCGTTAGTTGCTGTTGTGCCTTCAGAGAGGAAGCAGCCTGAAGAGGGCGGGCGAGGCGATGATCTCGGGGGCGTGGCTTCTCCATGCTCCACCTCCTCCTCCTCATCTTCCAGTCCGCCCCAAACGCAGCAGGCGGCGACAATCGCTCTTAGCAATGGAAACGGATTCTATGGTGACCAGCGGGGTGGATTGGCGGCACTCATCGTCATGACGACGGCGGCGCCGGTGGGGCGTGGCTGTGGGGAGGAGCCAAACGCAGAGTTAGGCTCCACCCACCTGTCGCTCACCCGCGCCGGTGGACGTCTCGTTATATCTCCTGTGCCGCCCAAACAGGACACGCCCTCCCTGCCAAGCTCCACCTCCCCACAGAGCCCCGCCCCTCCCAATCAGGGTGTGGCCACACTGTCACTCACTCTCCTGCCCAGCCCTGTGATTGGAGGACTGCTGCTGACCGACACCCCCGGGACACTCCTGCCCCCAAACCCAACGTCGCCATCGCCCTTGCTGCTTCCGTTTGACCCTGAATCCTTCCTAAACAGCCCCAAACAGGGGCAGACCTACGGAGGACCCGCCCTCACGCCCCACTCACTCTCCGCCTCCTCTTCCCCGTCTCCACCTCCTTCTACATCTCCTCAGCCGCCATCTCTGGCTCTGTCTCTTTCTCCCACATCTCCTCCATCGTCACTATCCTCCCTCTCTTCTGAGACGGAGAGGAAGAGTATTCCGGGTTGTCCCTCGCCCTCGCTGTCTCTTTCGCTCTCTCCGGCGCGAACGATTCCCACGCTGCTCCCGCTGTGTCTGGAGTTGTCTTTAGGACTCGATTCGATGAGTTCCCCTCTGTCTGTCCCGCCCTCCGACGACAGAGCTCCTCCCACCGGATTCGCCGCTCAAGCCCCGCTCGGTCATCTCCTGACCAATCTGCTCTCGCCCGCCACCCAAATAACACCCTCCCTCGAAGTGCTACCGACCAATCAGCTGCCTCCAGAGGGAGAAAAGGCGGAGTCACAGCACTCCATGTGCATTCACCCTCCGAATCGGTTCAAATACTGAGGTGCTAAACCATTCAGGGCTTTATAAGTAATTAGCAAGATTTTAAAATCTATACGATGTTTAATAGGTAGCCAGTGCAGTGTTGACAGAACCGGGCTAATATGGTCATACTTCCTGGTTCTAGTAAGAACTCTAGCTGCTGCATTTTGGACCAGCTGGAGTTTGTTTATTAAGCGTGCAGAACAACCACCCAATAAAGCATTACAATAATCTAACCTTGAGGTCATAAACGCATGAATTAACGTTTCTGCATTTGACCTTGAGAGTAGGGATGCACCGATACCGATACTGCACTCCTGTACTCGTACTCGTAAAAATGCCCCAATACCAAAAGCCAATACCACACAGCGTGTGAATAGAAAAAGAAACACTGAAAACAGAACAACAGAGAGTAGAATGGGGTTATTAGAGATTAAGGATGTCTATGAAGTACATGTAAGTAATTAATATAATGTTAAACATTCAATATTAACGCCTGTATAGCAGATGTGCGCCGGCAGAGATGCGTGAGCTTGTCGAGTGAATATCTCACAGACATCACTGGAAAGTTTGTAGTTCGGTCGGATATGTCAAAAGCATGTAAGTAAAACAATGCACAAGTTACTAAAGGTATTTGACGGTAAGGAGAGCGAGAGAGTCTGAGCGCGCACACTTCTGTTGTTGATTCTTGATTGCTGTTCGCTCCATTAGCACATGCATTTGGATTAAAACTAAATCGTAAATATAAAACAAACAAAATTATAGGGGCATTCACTATAAACAACATTTATTTTAAACGTCAAGCATACACAACTTTATTTGAAGCAGAAGAGAAACTAGCAGACGGGGTGAAATGCGCTAGGCTGTAAGTGTCTCTCATTCTGCACCAATACAAACGTGTGTATGTTTAGCTTGCTTTAAGGCCAAAGTATACTTCGGTTTTTTTTCGTATGCAAGGGTCCGTGTACACTGCGTGTGATGCAAATTACATCACCAAAATAGTAGCGTGCACTCGTATAATTTATAACGAGTGGTTCCCTGCATTATTTTAGGAAAACGTTTTGAGATTACAGTATTGAGCTGCTCTAATGCGCCATTAAAATGAACAGTGAAAGTAACAAAAGCTTATACAATGCATTTTAACAAGTATAATTAAGTGTGGAAATAACTGAAGGTAATATCTGTTTGCTAAATGAAGCCAACTAACATGATTCATATTATTATTTTTATTATTATTTTGTTTCTGTACCCAATATTTAAAAAAAACAAAATAGAGGTATCAGTATCGGTATCGGCGAGTACCAAAAATGAAAGTATCGGTATCAGACTCGTTTTGAAAAAAGTAGTATCGGTGCATCCCTAATTGAGAGCATAGGTCGCAATTTAGTTTTAAATTGGGGTAGATGTAATAACCGTTTAACTCTCTGTGGTTCAGGGCGGAGTGAAGCTGCTGATCACAGGCCCGTGGTCAGAGACGGACAGCCGATACTCGTGTGTGTTTGACCAGAGCAGAGTTCCTGCTTCTCTCATCCAGCCAGGAGTCCTGCGCTGTTACTGTCCAGGTGAGCAACACACACACACGTTCATACTCACTCACACACACACACACACACACACACACACTCTCTCTCTCTCTCTCTCTCGCTCTCTCTCTCACACACACACACACTCACACACACACTCTCTCTCGCTCTCTCTCACACACTCACACAGACTCACACACACACTCACACACACACTCTCTCTCTCGCTCTCTCTCTCACATACACACACACACACACACACACACACTCCTGCTCTCTCTCTCACC